AAGGAAAACTGGGAAAATAGGCAAATTTGTATATGGAATTCATCTACAAAGATGAGACATTAATGATGAACCAAATCAAGTGGACACAAACAATAATGAGGAAAGGAAAACAATTCTTTCTTTCTTTTTAATTATTAAAAATATAGAGAACGAACAGTTTTAAATGGACTATACCGGTTTAGATCTACCGCTAGCAGATATTGTCCTCTTTGGGCTTTCCCTTTCGGGCTTTCCCTCAAGGCTTTAAAACGCGTCTGCTAAGGGAAGGTTTCCACACCCTTATAAATGGTGATTTGTTCTCCTCCCCAACCAATGTGGGACATCACAATCTACCCCCCTTCGGGGCCCAGCGTCCTCGCTAACACTCGTTCCTTTATCCAATCGATGTGGGCCCGCCCCCAAATCCACCCCCCTTTGGGGCCCAACGTCCTTACTGGCACACCGCCTCGTGTCTACCCCCCTTCGGGGAAAGGCGAGAAGGCCGGCACATTGTCCGGTGATTGCCTCTGATACCAACTGTAACGACCGTAAATTTTCACATATCTAGAGTTGCCACTAACGTCTCATGCGCATCTATAATGTAGAAATATAACTCTTACATGAACATCATTTATAACGTAAACTTCGAAAAACGTTTAAAACAACTTCTTCTCTGGAAAACATAGCCATGGTCTTACGTGTTTAAATACAAAATACTAAAATTTAGAGAAAATAAAAACAAATACAACATAATTTAAAACAATGGAATGCAAAACAACCTATTCTAACTTAAAACTAAGAATTTAAATATGAGTCTACCCTATGCACGTGCCACAGTCTCTGCTCGCGATGCCGCCGTCCTCCGTACAAGTGCGCCTTGCCTTTACCTGAAAAAAAATTATATGGCACACAGCCTGAGTATTTCAAAGAATACTTAGTAAGTGACCCCACTATAGGGGCCATGCTAATGCAAACACATGCAATCATGAATTAGGGACCTATCTCTAATCATCTTAGGGGTGACCTTCAGTCTCGGACAAATTGGATGTGTAGTACTTCCCTACACACGACTCACACGTGCGAGTGTGAATTCCCAGGGCGCTCGCACACCCCCTGGACCCTCTGGTCAAGCTAATTTGTAGTGACGTCCGGAGGTCAGCGGAACCCCATAGTGTCATGTGCCTCATGAACACCCTCATCTGTGTGCTTTCGCACCTGTGCACATTAGCGCTCATCATAAGGTGCGCGTCCGCACTCATCATCTCTAGGGGAAGTAGCCCTATGCTTATGAACATACAATATGCATGAGGTCCCTCTAAATCCATCGTAATGTCTCTTCTGACACAATCCTTTAGTCTCATCTCTTTGTTACTCTAGGTAACACATGCTTGTGGATATTTATATTAATATCATTTTCATGCTCTTAGGGTTGTGTCCTATGTCGATCTAACGACGTGATGCAATATGGCACTCATCATCATCTAACATGCTCAATATGAAAACCATCATCATATTAAGGTAAACAACATGTAATCATCATACTCATCATATTGCCACAAAGTGCGTCAAATATATCAAGTGCATCATTCATCAAAATATGTATATACTACACATATCATCAAGCATCGTAATCCACACATCATCATAACTCATACAATTTTTTAGTCTATCCTATAGTAAGGCCACTTACTTGGTTGGCCTTGGCCGAAGTACTCCCTAAATAGCTAAACGTAAGCTCCTGTTCCGTGAGAGCTGCTTCCTACGTTGCCGGGGTATGTTTCCTATCACACCGTTCACCACTTTTCGTTAGTATTTCACAATTAATTTTCCTATAATTCAATAAATGTGAAATACGGCTCTAAAACGGCCTTGGATACCTTAATCGGGGCCGAAAACAGATCCGGGAGGGTCGAAACAGTGGAAACCGGGCTGAAAACAGGTGAGCAGAGCCGAACCGTACAGCCGTTGGAAGCCACCGGAGGGAGCCCGAGCCGTTTGCGCCGAGGGACCGCCTGCGCCGCTATGTGACACGTGGCAGCAGCAGAGCGAGCCACATCGTGCGGTAGCGTCAGGTTGAAGCGCAGGTCCCAGTCCGATTCGGGTCGTGGTCCGGGTCGCGGGCTGCGGAGGCTATTGGGCCAAGACTATCATTGGGCCTCGGCTTATTGGGCTGGGCCAAAAGTTTTTTGGTTGCAGGCTGGCTCGATTGGACCGTGGGTCTGGTCTCGAGTATGTTCAATTGAACCGTAGCTTCTGGGCTGGTCTGAGGTTTAGGCCACTATAGTTGGGCTGGGCCGAATGTAGAGGCCGAGGGAAAGAATGGGCTGACTCTCTCGGGTTTTGGGTTCAGATTGACCTGGATCCGTGGACCTCGTCTTCCTTACCCGACTCTGGCCGATTTTCTGGCGAGTTTTCTCTCTCCTTCCCGCGGCGTTTCTGTTGCCGATTTCGGTCCTCTTTCTTCCTCTTCCTCTTTATTTGTCGTCCTTCTTTCTTTTCTGGGAGTTTTGTGGCCTAAAGGTTCCTAAAACCACAGATCTAAGAACGATTAGGAAATACCCAATTTTCCGACCTCCGTTATTGACGACGGCGTTTACGAAAAAGCATAAAACGTTGAGTTATCGTGTTTTCTTAAAGGATCCTTCTCGTGGTGGTAACAGGTCGTTTGGTGTCGGTTTGAGGGTTCGTCAGAGAAACTGGACACTCGTCGACTTTTTTTTCCCAAAATCTCTCTCTCTCTCGTAGTTTTTTGTCTTTTCTCCCTTTGCAGATATCCTAATGGTGCTAGGAGTTGTGGGCTGAAGGCTGGGCATGCTGTGGCCGTCGTTTCGCTTGGGTTCTGCGAAACTCGGCGGTCGCCGGAAAACTCGCGGGTTTTTCAGCGACTGAGTTTTTTTTTTCTCCCGGGTCGTTACATTATCTACCCCTAAAAAGAACTTTCGTCCTCAAAAGTCTCAAACTCTTGTACCAACTCGGGGTATTTCTCTCTTATTTTGTCCTCACGCTCCCATGTGGCTTCCTCACTGTGGTAATTCTGCCACAGTTCCTTAACGAACACAATGCTCCTGTTGCGTAAGGTTTTTACTTCTCTAGCTAAGATTCTTACTGGTTTTTCCTCGTAGCTCAGATCTTCATTGAGTTAGAGTTGTTCATAGTCTATTACGTGGATAGGGTCCATAATGTACTTCCTCAGCATCGACACGTGAAATACATCATGTACTCCTAAGAGGGCTAGAGGTAGGGCTAACTTATACGCTACCGGACCAACTCGCTCTAGGATCTCGAATGGTCCAATGGATTTAGGACTTAACTTGCCCTTATGTCCGAATCTTAACACACCTTTCATAGGTGCCACCTTGAGGAATACTGGATCCCCTACCTCAAACTCCAAGCTTTTACGTCTTACATCGGCGTAGCTTTTCTATATACTTTGAGCGGTACGCATCCTCACTTGAATTTTCTGGACAGCCTCATTGGTGAGTCGAACCAACTCGGGTCCTACTAATTCTCTCTCTCCTACCTCGTCCCAACATAGTGGGGACCTACACCATTTCCCGTACAGGGCCTCAAACGGTGCCATTCCAATAGTTGCTTGGAAACTGTTGTTATACGAGAATTCCATCAAGTGGAGTTTGGAATCCCAACTTCCCTTAAAATTTAGTACGCAAGCGCGTAGCATATCCTTTAGTATTTGGTTTAAACGCTCCGTTTGTTCATTTGTTTGGGGGTGAAAGGCAGTACTAAAGTTGAGGCGGGTACCTAGTGCTTTTTGAAGTCCGTGCCAAAATGCTAACGTAAAGCGTGGATCCCGATCTGACACTATAGACACTGGGACTCCATGTAGTCTTACTATTTGTTTCACATACAGTTGTGCCCAATTGTCAACTGTATATGTAACATTCCCAGGTAGAAAGTGTGCCGACTTGGTCAACCTATCGACAACTACCCAGATCACTGTATAGCCTTTGGGCGTTTTGGGTAAACCTGCTATGAAGTCCATCGCTATGTTTTCCCACTTCCACTTCGGTATGCTTAGGGGCTGCAACAACCCCGCCGCCTTTTGTCTTGGAGCTTTTACTTGTTGACAAACTAAGCACTTGCTCACAAACCCGGCCACATCCCTCTTCATGCTCTTCCACCAAAAGTGTTGTTTTAAATCTTGGTACATCTTAGTACCTCTTGGATGCATGGCAAATGGCGAGTTGTGAGCTTCCATCAGTATCTCCTTCCTTAAATCTTCTATTGCCGGAACACATAAGCGTCCCTGATACAATAGTCCTTCATCTGATGACTTCAAGAATCCATCTACCGGACTTTCATCTAGCTGTCCTAGGACTTTCTGTAAGTTAGGATCCTCTCGTTGGGAGGTAATAATTTTTTGCCTAAGCGTAGGTTGTACCGTGAGTCGGGCCAGCTGTGTTATGACTCCCTCGGTCGCTACAGCTATGTTGGCTCGCTCGAACTCTCTTTGTACCCTTACTTCCCTCGTAATGAGGGCCAACGAGTGGACCGTCTTCCTACCCAAGGCATCTGCGACCATATTTGTTTTTCCAGGGTGGTACTGGATATCTACGTCATAATCCTTCACTAATTCTAAACACCTTTTCTACCTCATATTTAACTCTTTCTGGGTGAATAAGTATTTCAAACTTTTGTGGTCGGTAAAAATTTGGGTTTTCTCTCCATACAGGTAACGTCGCCAGATTTTCAGCGCGAACACTACAGCGGCCAACTCTAGGTCGTGGGTAGGGTAGTTCTTTTCATATTCCTTAAGTTGAAGAGTTGCGTATGCGACAACCTTGCCGTGTTGCATTAACACACATCCCAGTCCTTTCATGGAGGCATCACTATAGATCACATATCCTTCTGAGCTCTCGGGTACTATGAGTACTGGGGCGGTTACCAATCTCTCTTATAGGTTCTGGAAGCTTGCCTCACAAGCATCATCCCATCTAAATGGTACCCCTTTTTTTGTTAACCTTGTTAAAGGCGATGATATTTTAGCGAAGTCCTATACGAACCTTCGGCAGTATCCCCCCAATCCTAGGAAACTCCTTACTTCCGTTACCCTAGTTGGGCGTTCCCACTTTGTGATCGCTTCAACCTTGGTGGGATCTACAGATATTCCGTCCTTCGACACCACGTGTCCTAGGAAAGAGACTTGTCGTAACAAAAATTCGCATTTGGAGAACTTGGCGTACAACTTGTGCTCTCTTAGGGTGGTTAGGACTTTTCGGAGGTGTTCCTCGTGCTCTAGGTCTGTTCTCGAGTATATGACGATGTCGTCAATGAACACAATCAGGAACATGTCTAGGCATTCCTTGAATACCCAGTTCATTAACTCCATTAACACAGCTGGGGCATTGGTGAGGCCAAATGACATCACTACAAACTCGTAGTGACCGTACCTTGTCCTAAACGCTGTTTTTGGTACGTCTTTTTCATTAATCCTAATTTGGTGGTAACCGGACCGAAGATCTATCTTAGAGAACACTGTTGCCTCTCTGAGTTGATCAAACAAGTCTTCTATTCTAAGCAGAAGATAGTTGTTTTTTATGGTTCTCTTGTTTAGCTCTCTGTAATCGATGCATAGACGCATCGATCCATCTTTCTTCCTAATAAACAACACTGGCACACCCCAGGGGGACACGCTAGGTCGAATGAATCCTTTATTTAGTAAGTCTTGCAATTGCGCCTTAAGTTCCTTCAACTCTGCTGGCACCATGCGATAGGGTGCTTTGGAAATAGGCTCAGTTCCCGGCTTGAGTTCGATGACGTAGTCGACCGCTCGGGAAGGGGGTATTCTAGGTAAGTCGTCCGGAAAAACATCCGGGAACTTGTTTACTATTGGCACGTTTACTGGGGTCTTTTCCTTTCCTCTTACGTCTACAACACATGCTAATATAGCCCACCCACCTTGTTGGACTAACCTCTTTGCTTTCATCATCGAGACTACCTAGGGGGTAATCCCGGTACTTGTGCCTTTAAATTTAAAGGTAGGTCCTGTCGGTGGTGAAAATTTTACTTCCTTTTTGCAACAGTCTATACTAGCTCGGTTTTCAGCTAGCCAATCCATGCCTAGTATGACGTCGAAATCTGTCATGTTTACCACCATCAAGTCAACGCTTAAAGTTTGGTTCCCTATGATTACTTGGCCATCCTTTACTCTACCCCTAGATACTAAGTCTACCCCCGCAGGGGGTGCTTACAAACATTTCATGCAATAAGGGTTCTAATTCGAACTCTGCTTGTACAACAAAAGGCATGGAAATAAAGGAATGCGTGGAACCAGAATCAAATAAGGTAAAAGCGAAATGACCTAAAATGGATAGTGTACCTGTCACCACGGCGTCGGACCTCCTAGTGTCCTTGCTGGTTGACGCGTAGGCCCTAGCTTGAGCTCGCGGTGGTGCTGGTTGATCCGTTTGCTCTACTACTCTAGGCTGGTTTGCTTGTGCCGCAGCATTTTCGGCCGTGCAGTTCACGGCGATGTGCCCCTCTTGACCACATCTATAACACGCCCGGCTGCCAGCCATGCACCTTCCACTGTGTAGTCTTCCACAGATAGTGCACCCTTCCTCTCTCCTCCCTCTGGCCCCATCTTGATTCCTGGGGTTCCTGTCAGTACGTCGGGGAGGGCGTCGCTCATCCCATCTAGGAGCGGGTCTGTTATTGGAACGGTGCCTATGTGCTGGTGGTGGACGGTCAAAGCCTCCTGATTCATGAGGACGCTTCTGCCCAATTATGACTTGCTCTTCACATCGTTTCTTATCCTTTGGTTTCTCTAAAGCCTTGGCAGTTCTCAAGGCTTCCTCATAGGTCTTTGGGTTAAACGCCTCCAACATGCGGCGGATTCTTGGTACCAAACCCAATACAAATTTCTCTGTCATCTTTTCCTCAGTGTCCACCATGGACGGTGCGAATCTCTTGAGTCTATTAAACTCTCGGTTGTACTTCTCCGCTGTGAGTCCGCCCTGTACCAGGTGGGCGAACTCCTGCTGCTTTTTGAGTCGCTCTGACTTAGGATAATATTCTTTAAGGAAGGCCTCCTTAAATCGTTCCCAGTTCACTGGTCCCCCTTCTGGGTTAAGAAGAGTCTTGTTATCTCTCCACCATATCTCTGCGTCCTTTTGTAGGACGAAGGTTGCACAGGCGACCTTTTGGTTCTCTAGGCACTCCATAGTCTCAAAGGTGGTTTCCACCGCTGCAATCCACATTTGGCCTTCTATGGGGTCTGCTAAGGAACCAGTGAATGGTCGAGGGTCGTATCTCTTGAAATCTCTTATCCAGTTTAAACATCTAATAGGTTGTGGAGGGTTTACTGGGGCATTAGCCCGAGCATTGACCTGTGCCTGTGCCTGTGCCTGTGCCTGTGCCTGTACCTGTACCAGTGCCAGTGCCAACGCCTGTGCTTGGGCCTGTGCTTGGGCTGTTGTAGATTGGCTTGCATAGTGGTTACCAAGGTTTGAATTAGGGCTTGGATGGAGTCACACATTAACTTCGTATTAGCATCTACTCCGCCCGCTGGGGGTGCAGCTTCAGGTGCGACTTGGAGTGGTAGGGTAGGCGGGGGTGGAGGTTCTACTTGTGGTGGAGGCTCTACTGGTGGTGGAGGCTCTACTGGTGGTGTAGGCTCAGCTTGTAGTGGAGCTAGAGGAGGTAGCTCAACTGGTGGTAAGACTGGCGGCGGCGTAACTGTTACCGGCCCAGTCTCTGATCTTTCTTGAGGTGGGCCCTCTACTGCCACACCTCATCCTATTTCTCTACGACGGGGTCGCCCCCATCCTCGTCTTCCTCTTCCTCTTCCCCTTCCTCTTCCTCGTCCTCTGGGCATGGTTCTATAAACCAAGATAGCATGTCCTAAGCTTATAGCTCATTACTTATGAACTTATGCTATACATCACATATACTAAGTTCACATCATATTGCAAACAAAATAACTCAGTATGCAGCACATCACATCATACTCTTAATAAATAAATACGTGAAATATCGCAACAATTTCAGTAATATTAACATAAAAATGCATGCGAGTTTTAAAACGTTTCTCTTTTCTTATCTTATGCAAGGCGTACCTAACGGTGACGGAGCATCGACGTTGGGACCATGGAACGTGCCAAGTGTCACGGTCCTATATCTTTGACCGTGCGGCGTCGTGATCTATACACGCTCACGACCAGCCTTAAGGGGAATTAAGCCCCATTATATTTTTCGCCCCGGCTTTGTGGCTTCGTCGGACCTTAGGCGAGGTTTGTCTTCGCCAATCGAACATCGCTTGTGCGGAATCCAAGCTTGTTCAACCACACACGCCGCCTGTGCGTGTATGTTCAATCATCTGCGACACATCCGACTTGCCTCTACGCTAGGCCAACTCATTCGGCTCGACCTTGCCTCTACTCGGGCCAAGGTCTCTCAGTACAACGTCGCATCTCATCTTGCCATCTCGATCCCCATCGACAGGGTCCATATGTCTTGACGCCATCCCGAGTCTCGGGATGTCGTCGCTCATCATAACTCGTTCGGTCATGCCATCGAGAATGGGCCCGCGTGTCGTTCATCTTATCGGGACTTCCCGAACATCCATCCATCCGGGTTCTATCGAGGCATAGGCCCTCCCGTGCCCATGCCGAGTCATTTACGGATACCGTACCGGATAGCGGGTGTATGTAGCAACCTCCAACACGCGGGCTAGGGCGCAATACCGGCACACCCGTGCCGTCCGGTACTGTCCTTCAAAAACCCATTTCAAAGGAAGTCGCCCCGAGACACTCGTCTCGGCACGCTCGCCCACACTGTGACACACGTATGTGCCACAGGGTAGCTCGCTTAGGCCACAGGGCCCAGGGGTGGTGGAGAGCTAACACCATGGTACCCCCTATAGTACATTTTGAGCCATTTTCATTCTACCAGGAGTAGACATGATTTTCGTGAGGTGTCATACGGTGTCGTGCATTGTCCGTCCCATGTCCGATTGACACCAAACTTGGCGAGCATTCATATTTCATATGGACGGACTTAACTCCCGAACCGCATGACCAAATTCCTTCCGGAACCTCGACTTTTGAGGTTAAGGCTCGGGGCCCTACCCGGTCCTTCAACAAGCCTATCTTGTCCTTCATGTCTATGCTGATGTCTCTGTTATGCTTGTGTCTCAACATGTCTTCAATGCCCACTTTGCGTGGTGGTGTGTTGGATGATGCATCGTCCTCCTCGATCGCATCATGGCATTCTTCTACGTTGGCCCGCATATGGCCGGATGGGCGTCTCTTGAGGAACGCCTCTTTGCTTGTCATGGCGTGAGGGTCACAACCTACTCTCTTCATAGTAAGGTTGTGACATTCTCCCCCACTTAACTTAGTCATCGTCCTCGATGACTTACTCAGGTCACAATCATATTGCGGATTGTGACATTCTCCCCTACTTGATTTAGTCATCGTCCTCGATGACTTTCTCGGGCGCGTTCGCCCCACCTATTGTGAAGTTCTCCCCCACTCAGTCTCGGCATCGTCCCGATGACGATCCGACTCTTTCTCTGTTGGCGACTTGACTCGCTGGATTTGGTTGTGCTTCAGAAAAATCTTCTATTGTTGAGCACCTGACGATCTGTTGTCATAATGCTCTCTCTGCTGACGTCTTATGCCAACTTGGGACAAGTTCGAGTGGATGCTTCTGACTTCTCTTTTGTCAGGTGGCACCACGTTCTGACTCTTGACTTGGTCAGTTGTTGGGTGAACTTGTCCTCACTTAGGCTTGTTCCTTTATCTACGGCTATCCCCATTCGAACCTATTTCTGTTGTTCGCCCATCTTGGACTCGGCCACCGAGACTCGCAACGTAGACGTGACTCTTCAGCGTTTGCCATAGTTGTGGGTGAGGCTGACTCTCTTTGCAGACACTCACCAGACAAGTATGGACTTCAGAGGGCACTCTTGCCCTATTTTGGCCAACTTGGCCCCAGTGTGTGTATCCTCCTCTGATCACATAAACTAGTGCACCCCTCAGGGTGGGGCTCGCAAGCCCAGCCGCGACACTCTTTTGGTCGCGACCACTTCTCCTGTGAACTAGTGCACCCCTCGGGGTGGGGCTCGCAAGCCCAGTCGCAACACTCTTTGGTCGCGACCACTTCTCCTGTGAATTTGTCCACCGCTTGGGGTGGAGCTCGCAAGCCCGGCCGCAACACTCTTTGGTTGCGACCACTTCTCCTATTGAGCAAAGTCAACTCTTTGACAGTCTCTTCAGTTGTTGGCGCTACTTTCGCCCAACTCTTTGTATTTTGTCACATCGTGTGACTACTGTTGTGCGTGAACTTCCAGCTTGTTGCTCACTTCTCGAGCGGATACTGGTCTTGACATCTGTTGGTGGAGTCATCCACCCTAGGCACAAGGTGGTGACTCAAGGAATACACGTGTGCTCGTATGTCCGAGCACCTTTACGGGGTGAGAGACTTATTGAGGTTGCTCTCCCCCGCTCGAAGTCAGCTGCCTCTTTGCAGCAAAGTCGTCCCCCCATAAGGACTTACATTGTATACGGTTTTTGCACTCGGCCGACGCTTGTCTTCTTTGACTCTCGGCTTCTCTGCTTGCAACCACTGACACTATTCCTCTACTGTGAATGGTTCTTTGGAAGGCACCGTCATGGTGCTTTCTGTTTCATCTGTCTTGTCTACTTCGAAACAGCAAGCTCTTGTCAGGTGAGCTTGGTTTTTGCTTGACGGGTAGATCTACCCATATTGAGGTGTCGACACACGACACTAATGAATTTCGGGTAGTCTTGGCTTCGACCCCCAACTGATTATAATTCTGACCGGCAACTGTCCTGCCCACTTCGGCACTCTTGACACACTTGCAAGGTCTTCGATCAACTCTTGGGTTCATTTCTCTTGACTGTCTTGCCCGACTAGACACACAAAGTGTGGCTCTGATACCAACTGTCACGGTCCTATATCTTTGACCGTGCGGCGTCGTGATCTATACACGCTCACGACCAGCCTTAAGGGGAATTAAGCCCCATTATATTTTTCGCCCTGGCTTTGTGGCTTCGTCGGACCTTAGGCGAGGTTTGTCTTCGCCAATCGAACATCGCTTGTGCGGAATCCAAGCTTGTTCAACCACACACGCCGCCTGTGCGTGTATGTTCAATCATCTGCGACACATCCGACTTGCCTCTACGCTAGGCCAACTCATTCGGCTCGACCTTGCCTCTACTCGGGCCAAGGTCTCTCAGTACAACGTCGCATCTCGTCTTGCCATCTCGATCCCCATCGACAGGGTCCATATGTCTTGACGCCATCCCGAGTCTCGGGATGTCGTCGCTCATCATAACTCGTTCGGTCATGCCATCGAGAATGGGCCCGCGTGTCGTTCATCTCATCGGGACTTCCCGAACATCCATCCATCCGGGTTCTATCGAGGCATAGGCCCTCCCGTGCCCATGCCGAGTCATTTACGGATACCGTACCGGATAGCGGGTGTATGTAGCAACCTCCAACACGCGGGCTAGGGCGCAATACCGGCACACCCGTGCCGTCCGGTACTGTCCTTCAAAAACCCATTTCAAAGGAAGTCGCCCCGAGACACTCGTCTCGGCACGCTCGCCCACACTGTGACACACGTATGTGCCACAGGGTAGCTCGCTTAGGCCACAGGGCCCAGGGGTGGTGGAGAGCTAACACCATGGTACCCCCTATAGTACATTTTGAGCCATTTTCATTCTACCAGGAGTAGACATGATTTTCGTGAGGTGTCATACGGTGTCGTGCATTGTCCGTCCCATGTCCGATTGACACCAAACTTGGCGAGCATTCATATTTCATATGGACGGACTTAACTCCCGAACCGCATGACCAAATTCCTTCCAGAACCTCGACTTTTGAGGTTAAGGCCCGGGGCCCTACCCGGTCCTTCAACAAGCCTATCTTGTCCTTCATGTCTATGCTGATGTCTCTGTTATGCTTGTGTCTCAACATGTCTTCAATGCCCACTTTGCGTGGTGGTGTGTTGGATGATGCATCGTCCTCCTCGATCGCATCATGGCATTCTTCTACGTTGGCCCGCATATGGCCGGATGGGCGTCTCTTGAGGAACGCCTCTTTGCTTGTCATGGCGTGAGGGTCACAACCTACTCTCTTCATAGTAAGGTTGTGACACCAAGCCTACATTGTAGGCGTACCTGACTGTTATGTT